GTTCAGATTAGATTTATAATCTGAAAAAATCTGAACTGAACTGAAAATTTTCAGATTGAAATTTTTGCAATCTGAAACTGAACTGAAGTTGATCCGAACTGAAAATTTTCGGATTAATCCGAACTGTTCAGAGCTTTAGCAAAGGTAAAAAAAGAGGAATCAGCATTAACTTATCTTTCTGATTTTAGAAATTGTCTTAGACCTGAAATTAGTGAAGATATTCATAAAAATGTTTGTGAAGATGCTTATGAAAATAATGCTGTAATGATAGATGATGATCACAACTAATCTAATGGAGAGGTTTTATTAGAAAATCTGTTTGGGTCAAAAGGAAATGAAGAAGATATGATCATTTTTATAATACTGGTAATGATATCACTATTCTGAATGAAGTATCTGAGTAACATATTTATTCAACCAGTGATGAAAAAGGTTTATCTGATGATGAAAAAGGTTTTCTATTATTTGATGACTTAGATGATGATGAATGAGATTTAGAAAATTTTGAATTACTCTTAAGTGATGATAAATTATTTATAACTTCTGATTTCATTAATATTAATAATTTATATCAGAATAATAATATAAACATAAATGATTTATAGATACTTCTCTGGATCTTTAAATATCAAGAAAGATTCAGACTCTCTGATGTTGCAATCAATTCATTAATCGGCTTCTTTAGCTTTGTTTTGAAAAATATTAATTCAAACTAGTTTAAAGGATTCTCATCAACTGCATATATGGCTAGAAAAATATTAGATATTAAAAAAACCTTGAAGTCTTTCACTACTTGCACTAATTACAACAAACTTTACAATCTAACAGATATAATTCTAGATGATAATATAAGATTAGGATTTAAATGCATTTATATTGAATTTCTAAACCACTCAATGTAAAGCTAGTATATATCCTGTGATTCAGAATTGCTCGTGAAGATTTCAATAAATAATGGTTACAAATGGCATCTGAAAATTATATACCCATTACCATATTTAAAGATCCAATTAACTATAATGTATAAATAACTAGAGTTCGAAGAACTTTTAAAAAAATGGGCTAATTAAGACATTGTAACTGACGTTATATCAGATATTTACAATGATAAAATTTGGAAGTCCTTTCTATTATATTAAAATGACCAAACATTCCAATTTTTCACACCTGGAATTACAGATATTAATCTTGAAATAATGATTAATCTCGACTGATTTCAACCTTTTGAATCATCAGTATACAGTTATAGCATGATATACAGCATTATTTGTAATCTTCCCTGAGACCTAAGATTTAAAAAAGAAAACATACTAATGCTTAGCCTTCTACTAAGACCAGATGAGGTCGAATTATACAAAATCAATCATTACTTAGCTTTAATAATAGACGAGTTACTAGAGTTTAGAATGGTGTCAATTTACTAATTACTAATAATTATCCCATTAGTAAAAATATCAAAATGGCCATAATTTGCTACAGCAATGATATACCGGCTACCAAAAAATTATGTGGTCATATATCTGCATTAGTTGGATATCATAGATTTTACAAGAGAGCAAATAGTGAAGAAAGGCAAAAGCTGAACTTTGGAAGATTTGACGATATTGATAAGTTATACAAAATAAAAGATATTTCAAAATATCACTGTAATGCAATGATCTGAAAGCTTTAGCAGACAAAAAAAAATCAGAAAAAACATGTGAGTCAGACTCACATTTAGTGGTTAAAGATGCTTCGCTTGTCGTATTTCAATTCAATCAGATTCCTGATGGTAGACCTGATATATAACTTATTTCTAGGAATAGCGTATTAGATTGTAAAAAGATTATGAATAGAGGGTGAAAAAATTACAAAATCTGACTTTGAGTTAATAGAGAAAAAAGCAAGTAAAATTAAAGTTCCTTCTGATATTGGCTGAATTCCCTACAAGATTGCTACTAGAAAGGGGTTTTCTGATTATATTACTGACCAATAGAAAACATTCATAATGATATATGCAATCTCAATTATGTGAAATCTTATAGATGAAGATGATAGAGAAATTTTAGCAAATTTCGTTAAAGTATGCTTCCTATTAGTATTATGCATTATTGATAAAAATATATTAGATAAAGCGCACGCCTAGTTGTTATTTGTTGTTAAATCAATCAAAAAAAATTACAGATCAGAATTCATCACTTCAATATTTATCTCTCTCTCCATTTTACTGAATATTGTATAGATTACAGTCTAATATATTCATTTTGGTGTTATTTATTTGAAAGAATAAATAGTATTTTAGGTAAGTTGTATGCCGATTATTGTTAAAACTTTAATATTATATAAACTGATTGTATTTTTAAGCTCCCTCCCAAATAGTTATCGTCAGATCGAATCAGAATTATTATGAATTATTATGCAGAATTGGCAGCTTGACAACCTTTTATCTTCCCAATCAAACAATATGGTACTTGTTGAAGGTCTAGAGTTATTAAAGCCAAGGATAACTTTAGAAAGTTTGGCAGCTTATAATAATTTTAAATTTGATGAACTTCAGCGTTTTAGGCAGATCTACCAATTTGAAGTTGAAAATATAACTACAGGTGCTGAGCCTTTTTTCGGAGAGATGCTTACTCTTAAAAAAATTAATGTTAGTTTACTGAACAATGTATACAATATTCTAATAGCCTATTATAATAATGCTTATGATATGGAATTTTTATCGATTGCAGATTCAGTTAATACTAGAAGTTCTAGTTATAGGATTATTATCAGTCCCTCAAGTAAATCAGTTTGGACACATTTGAATCAGAGCTGAGAACTTTGGATTGGCTAGTGTGTCTCGATATTTAAAAAATTCGTTTATTTTTACTAAATTCGTGTAAGAAAATGATTCAATTGATGTATATTTAGGACAAATCCAGTACTTTTTTGAATATGAAGTTAACTTTCTAGATAGAAGGCAAAATCATGAACTAGCCTTTGTCAAATGGTACAAGCTGACACTAAGTCATCATATAAGATTCTACTTTCAGATTAACGATGATATTCAAATCTGCAACATAGAAATTTGGTCAAAAAGTTTTTATAATATTAGTAGAGATTGTATCATACCAGTTTATAATATACTTAGTCGATTTATACTAAGTGAATATAAAATAGGTAAAAGAAATCCAGTTGTATATATAGCTATTATTCTAATCGCAAGAAAATTCAATATGTAATAATAGTCATATGTAATATATTATTTAATTTCATTAAATTAGTGATTTATTAATTTTATTAAGTTGATATTCTCTATTCAGCATATATACAAATTATCATAAATATATAAATAAATACCAATCAGAAAATTTTTATATTAACAATAAACATTATCTGAAAGCTGGTTCTTCTTATTTTTACATATTAGACTTCAAATAATAAATAAACTCTAACCAGTAGTTTGACATGTAACTGCTATACAAGTAAACACTGATATAAAACTTTGATATTAATATTAAATATCAATCAGCAATTTACTGATTGTATCTAATTTATGATGATATCTGGGTTGCTTTTTATTTAACCATTTGAAGATTTCAAATTGGCCAATATATAAAAATTAGTACAATTGCCAGTTAGACATCTTTTGACCTGTATATATGATATTTATTATTACAATTAAACAGATAGATATATCAATCTAAAAAGTTTAGTAGTAGTAATCATATAATGGAGATTATCACATACTAGATAAATAAACATATCAATCCTTTTAACTTAAATTAAAAAATCTTTCACATACTTTAGATAATTATTATAATTAAATAATATTATTAATAAACTTAAAGAAATATATCAAAAGAATCTTATTCATTATGATTTTCATTATAGCAATATTTTAAATATTAGAAATAAGATTTTATCTATTAGTAATTTAGGATTATGTAAACCTATAAATTATTTTTAAATATCTAAAAAAAAATGATATTTATGATATTTTACTATTTGTAACTCCTAAAGTTTAAGAGAACAATATTATATTTTAGCTAGTAAAGATGGTATTGCAACTAATTATAATTAGTGATAAATAAGCATAACAGGATTACAATTAATTGTAATATTAATAAAAATTGAGTTGCAACTAGTTATAATTAATAACATAAGTATCATATAATTATAACTAGTTGTAACATTATCTTATTAGCTAGTCATATATATAGTTTTTTATGATTATATAGAAATTAATATCAGATGTTATTCTATTTAATAATAAAGCTTATAATTTTCAACTAGTTAAGATATTTGTAAAGGTAAACATCTTAAAATTATTAAAAATATTTCCAAATATTATATAAATTTAATAAAAGAATATTGGAATATAAATTCATTATAAAGGTTAATTGCATTAGAAATTAAAAAAATAATTAAAAAATGGCTTAACTATATTATTGATAAAAATTATGATAAAGAATTAAAAGATGATATTATAGATTTTTATAAATCAGATAAAGTATTTAAACAAAATTAAAATAATAATCTAAGTATTATTAAAGATTATTTACAAATATTTTATACAAATCATATACTTAATTTTACTAAAAGATTAAATAAAATTTTAGATCTTGAAAATAAAAGTTTAAAAATTAGTCAAAGTATTAGTAATTATTATAATATATATAAATATTTAATAATTTCTTTAAATTAAC